GGCTTTGAGTTCCCTCTGCGAATTCTGTTTTACGTCTTCTATGGATTCAAAACGCGTTCCTCTGAGTGGTAATTTGAGGTTGGGAAACAGGAAAAAGTCACACGGTGCAAGATCAGGTGAATACGGTGGCTGTTCGATGGTATTTATTGAATGTTTGGCCTTAAAATCGTTGATAATGTTGAACAAATTGAGGTGAATCGGAACAAGCCGGGCGTTGACACGTCGCATACACAAATTGTCCACCAAAATCAAACGAGCCATCTCACGACCGATGCCTAGCTCTCGTGCTATCTCTCTAACACTCACATGAGGATTTTTGAACACGATTTCCTTTGCCTTTTCAATGTTTTCGTCGGTGGTAGAGGTCGAAGGTCGTCCAGAACGCGGCATGTCTTCGACGGTCGTACGACCGTCCTGAAAGGCTTTGTACCACTCATAAACTTGAGTTTTCGATAAAACTGATTTCCCATAAGCCTTTTGTAGCATTCGCAACGATTCTGCACACGAAATTTCGTTCGAAACACAAAATTTGATGCAAACTCTTTGTTCAATATTTTTTTCCATTGTTTTTTTCGCAACGCACTACTGAGGTGAACTGGTTTCAACAGCTGTCGTAAACGAACTGTCTGACAGATCGCGCTCATTTTTGGCATAGTAATTAAGGACAGTGCTGCCAAACTACATAAACTTAAAATATCGAAAAATATACAGCGCGCGAATTTTAAATGAGAATTTCCGAAAACCTTTCGGTCACAATGTACCATGGAATCTTAAACAGTTTTCTTAAAGACAGGTTTTGAGCTATCTGTAATTGCTTTAAGGTAGTATTTGAGGCTTTGCTATATGTAATACATTCGTACAGTAGTGCTGATCTAATTACTTGCGTATAAAGTAACTTTCTGTTTTTAAAGTTGAAGTGATAATTATTAAATAGCGACTTTAATAAATGTAGAATCTTAGAGCAGCTATTCCGTTTGTATTTCAAATGTTTAAAAAAAAGTAGAAATATAAAAATGCAAATCATTTAGTACCAATCTTCCGGAACTACTTACCGCTATATTAAACATAATTTTACTCATAAATACTGTAGATACATAAAAATCATGAGTTTATGTATTTCACTAAACACGGCATAAATAAAAAGAAATCAGTGTAAAAAGCTGAAGTCGTTGCGAAGTCGTTTTGGCGCAAGTTCGCAATCTTCTGCAGAGGTCAGCATATCTCACACTCCATCGTGTGGACTTCCAAGGTACTCTGTTATTAACCAGATATTGTTTATTCAAAAAATCATCAATGGATTCACGCTTTGGCTATTGTTTACACTGTTCCAGCCAGAGTTTTGTATTAGTTTTTTGTTTTTGGTTATTTTTCTGTTAATTAATAACTTGGCGCGCGTACCTGCAAAAGTGAAATTGTAAATATGCTCATAAACTTCAAAATATATAATAGTTATCCGAAAGTAAAAATTACTTATTGTTTGATGTTTAATATGCAAAAAATGTTAAGGAAAATAAATTTTGACGGGTGAAAATAAAATTCGCTAATACATCGCTGAAAGCGTAACGTAATTTTACGAGCTTGCAAAAATTTGAAGTATCCATCGAACTATGCTCAAGAATAAATTTACTGAAAGGTTGAGGTATTTTTATTTCAAATAAATACTTTAAGGTAGTTTTGTTAAATTGATGGAAATGGGTTTTTTTCAGTCTCAACATATACTTAAAATTTATTTATTACGTAACGACTGCTCACAAGTTAGTCAGTTTGCGGTATCTATAGTACGAGTATCTATAGCATTTTTAAACAGATACTAACTTATGTTTGCAGTTTGTCATATTAATGTTAAATAGTAAAAATAATAATAAAAAATTTTAAATTTAATTAAAACAAACATGTTAAAAAATAAATTGTTAAACTATTAAAATTATTTATTAAAATGCATCCACATTACTGGTCTATTTCAGTTTTTACGTATTTATTTAACATTTATTGTTATCATATACTTTATTTTATTTTTATATTGTGAAGTGGGAAATGTTTTAATTAAAACTTGTATATCTTATAGATTATATATATCTTATAGATTATATATAATCCTATAGATATATATCTTATATATATCTTATAGATATATCTTATAGTTATAATCTTATAGATTTATAGAGATTATAGATTTTATATATTTACTTAATGTTAGCTGTTATTATAGTTTCGTATTTATTTCCATATACTATTCGCCAGCTAGAAATTGCACAAAGCCAGGATTTGAGAAGACTTTTCAAAGTACCATGGTACATTAGGACGAATAACATCCTCAGGAACCTCAAGATTGATCCCATCAAAAAATACATAAAGGATAGACCCCTGAAATTATTTACAAAAACTGACAAATTTGTCAACACCACGTTATCAAATCTCAAAATAGTTACAGGCTCCTCGGGAAGGTATGCAGATCTGAGCTCAATTATTGCTTAGTCTGAGAAAATGATAAACAATAATCCAATTAAGGCGTAAAGAGGGGTTTTGAAGTTACCTCGAGTTAATAAAGAGTAAAAGTTCTCAAGTGCACTGGCTCAAATAGCAGTGCAACATAAATAAATGTATTTTGTAAATACTGACCATAGAGAGATTGACTGCATTAATAATATTATTTTCACTTTATTTCAAATAAATAGTAAAATTCCCACAAAATGGGAATTGGCTTGAATTGTGGTTCTGGTAGTCGTTGAAATCAGAAATGTGTTGTTTACATTTCCTTGAGCATTTGCCACTGAAAGGGCTTCTTGCATTTGGCACGTAAATAGTTTTACCA